GAGAGAGATGCATGCATATAAACGAATTCTATTACTCACTTGTCTTTGTAAAAATACAAAAACCGAATTTCTATGGGTGCGTACATATTTTTGACTCGTATTATATATATATATATATATATATATATAGAGAGAGAGAGAGAGAGAGAGAGAGAGAGAGAGAGCCTGAACTGAATATATATATATATATATATATATATATATATATAGATAGATAGATAGATAGATAGATATAGATATAGATCCTGAACTGAACCGTTTGTGTTTATATATAAATATTATATATAAATATTATGTTTATATTTATATATATTAAATGATAAAGCAGTAATTTATACAAAGAATTAATTAGCAATGTTAATGAGATTAATGGCGACATCACTTCGCTAACAATACTTAATAAGACATTAACTTACTATCAATTCATTGAATAAGATCTTTATATTCGAGTTATTGTATATTTGAGCTGTTATCAGATGGAATTGACGAGCCTATTACTTTCGACAATTTCAAATTATCATCTTCGGGGCGCACTTTTTTTTCTATATACAGGCAAAACACTAAAACGAAATATGTATATGGAAAAAAATTGCACCCCGAAGATGAAATTGTGGAAAGTACATAGTTCGTCAATTACATCTGACATCAACTCAAATATAAGGATCGTATTATTCAGGGAATTGATAGTAAACTTAATGTTTCATTAAGTCTTGTTAGTGAAGGGATTTCGCCATTTATGATAAAAGCTGCATACTCTAATATATATATATATATATATATATATATATATATATATATATATATATAAATATACATACTTTTTACATTAATTACACAAGTCACATAACTAAGAACATCTGACGTAACGTTTTTACGCATTTTTCAGTCTTGAGAAGTATCGATATATATATATATATATATATATATATATATATGCAGTATACATGTATATATATATATGTAGCGTATACATATATATATAATTATTTATTCGAAAATTATAACATAAATATGTTATAAAATCACTACAAAAATAGCCATTTTGTTTCAACACTTCTGGTGCCTTATCAAGTGATGGTGTTGAATCTAGAATAAAGTGTTTTAAAAGGTTCAAATCAATCAAATACCCCTCGCAAATGGAAAGGCTGTTACGTAAGATGGAATGACCAATCAAATTACAAGTATTCAAAAAACTTGACAACATACCTTGGTTATAATAATTAATTAATGCTTTTATGTTAAGGTTAGACTAAAATAGAATTCATTCTAACTAATTAATGTTAAATTTTACTATAAAATTAAAAATTAGTAATTTTAAATTTAATCTGTATTAAGTTTAAAAAATTATAAAATTATTTAAAGAAGAAACTGAGGAAAAATACATATGTTTTGTTTTTTATTTTATTTTTATTGAAAGGCTAAAAATTAAGTTAGAATAAACGTCAAAATCTAATGTTGTGCTAAGCTTCGTTACAACTTAGATACATTTGAAGTGAAGATATGGCCAGGGGAAGGGGAAATCTTGCAAAAGACAGTACATACACAATCAGATTATAATACACAAACACGTAGACATATTTAGAGATATAAACGCAAAAAAACGACTAGACAGGAAATCGGTGTCTACGACCCTTAAAAACAAAAAACAAACAAACAAAAAAACGACAGCATATACATGAAAGGTACATATAAACGATTATACACACACACATTGATAAAGACACGCACATATACACACCAAGAAATATATAAAATTTGAAAGTGTTAGTAAACGCATTCAAACATACAATTAAAATATAACTTATACGGGCAAAGATATATAGATAAAATAGATTCCGTATACACCAATCATGTATATATATATATATATATATATATATATATATATATATATATATATATATATCGACGAGCCAAGTACTTTCGAAATTTCAAAATGTCATCTTCAATAAATTCAATAGTCAATAAATAGCATATTTTAAAAAATATCTTTCGTCCTTCACTACACATATTTCGCCTTAGTGTTTTGCCTGTGTATGGCAGGATGGCGCCGCGAATATGGCAATTTGAGATTTTCGAAATTACTTGGCTCGTCAATTCCAATATAAAGATCGTATTATTCAAGGAATTGATAGTAAGTTAATGTCTTATTAAATCTCGTTAGCGAAATGATTTCGCCATTAATCTCATTAACATTGCTAATTAATTCTTTCTATAAATTACTTTTTTATGATATATATAAGCTGCACACTCTAATACGTACACACACACACACACACACACACACATATATATATATATATATATATAATTAAGTAATTCATCAAGGCTATAAGAAACCTCAATAGAATGCAGAAATCACTGGACGGCAGTTTCGTCCTATATTTCGGACTCATCAGCAGTGCGCATCCACTATCGAGAATTGAAACCCGACAGTTACGTTATCAGGCATACAAGCTGTTCCAATGGGTCTTCGGTGGCGAAGAGGTAGCGAATTAGACTCGATATAGCGCCGCTCGATCATATATTCCGTGGTGGAACTGATCCGAGTTTCTCTTTTATCCATAGGACTGTGGCCCCACGAACCACGGCTACTATCCCCACGCCTCTCCATCCAGATCATTTAAAGCCGGGATATACTAGCGATAGAAATTAATAGGAGGATTTGAGGTAAATATAATTAAGCACCTAATCAATTACTTAATTATAATTATCTCAAATCCTCCTAATAATTTCTATCACAGACACACACACATACATATATATATAATTATCTTGAGGTAGATTGTTGTTGTTCAGCTGGCTATGTCAATGGATATCTTGTTGAGTCCTTATTTAGTACTACTCAGTTAATGCTCGTCCTGTTTCGAATGAGTCTCAGTCAGGGCAGTAGCAAAGGAAAGTTGGCTGGTGAATTTGGGGACATTGTAATTATGAGTTCAATCCCTGACCCGGGTAGTGCGCAGTTGGAATCAGTGGAGGCAAGGCAAGCAATATCTGAGCAGTACTAAGTAAGAACTATATCCCGAGTCATGGTCAGTGGAACAAAAACAATTTACTCCCGTATACAGTATAAAGGGTTCAGTTCGAAATTCTCAGGTGGTTATGTAGATCGAGAGACACCCGATGAAGGTCGAAGGTTGCAACGGCCGAAACGTTTCGATAATAATAAGAAAGATGAAGGCAATAATGTGTTAGGTGAGGGCAATTTTTCTCAGACCATTTGATAGTGAATTTGTTCTGTTGTGCAAGAAATTCTAAAAAAAAGATAAATTTTATCCAGATATCCAGGAATAGAGTAACACTGTGTGTAGTCATGCCTCAGGTTTCAAGTCGATAAAAGATGTTGTGGTGAAAGATCAAAGTCTGACGAAAGTGGGCAGGGGAAAGAGAGATTTAAAAAAAAATCTTAGCGTCGATAGTTTTGAAGCCAACAACCAGAAGCAAGATAAGTTTTCCATACACTTCCTAATGATGTAACTTCTGTGCCCTGCGATTAGAGCGTCCTGGGTAAGAAGATGAACTAAATCTGCGTCCTGGGTAAGAAGATAAACTACCATCGCGTCCTGGTATGAAGATGAACTACATCCGCGTCCTGGGTAAGAAGATGAACTACCATCGCGTCCTGGTATGAAGATGAACTACATCCGCGTCGTGGGTAAGAAGATGAACTACCATCGCGTCCTGGGTAAGAAGATGAACTACATCCGCGTCCTGGGTAAGAAGATGAACTAAATCTGCGTCCTGCGTAAGAAGATAAACTGCCATCGCGTCCTGGTATGAAGATGAACTACATCCGCGTCCTGGTTAAGAAGATGAACTACCATCGCGTCCTGGTATGAAGATGAACTACATCCGCGTCGTGGGTAAGAAGATGAACTACCATCGCGTCTTGGGTAAGAAGATGAACTACATCCGCGTCCTGGGTAAGAAGATGAACTAAATCTGCGTCCTGGGTAAGAAGATAAACTACCATCGCGTCCTGGTATGAAGATGAACTACATCCGCGTCCTGGGTAAGAAGATGAAACCATCGCGTCCTGGTATGAAGATGAACTACATCCGCGTCGTGGGTAAGAAGATGAACTACCATCGCGTCCTGGGTAAGAAGATGAACTACATCTGCGTCCTGGGTAAGAAGATAAACTACCATCGCGTCCTCATATGAAGATGAACTACATCCGCGTCCTGGGTCTGAAGATGAACTACATCTGCGTCCTGGGTAAGAAGATGAACCACATCCGCGTCCTGGGTATGAAGATGAACTACATCCGCGTCCTGGAATGAAGATGAACTACATCCGCGTCCTGAGTAAGAATATGAACTACATCCGCGTCCTGGTATGAAGATGAACTACACCCGCGTCCTGTGTAAGAAGATGAACTACATCCGCGTCCTGAGTAAGAAGATAAACTACATCCGCGTCCTGCATAAGAAGATGAACTACCTACCGACAGCAAGGCCTCTGATCAGGAGGTCTTGAGGAGCGTGGAACCACCTCTTAATTGTTGGTGTTCCCAGGTCCACCCTGGCCGGGGTGGTAGCACCTGTTAGGGTCCCAACCATAGGCAAATAGTTAACACGCAAACTGGGGTCAAAACATTATGAAAATATAAAAATATGTTTTAATACCAGCAATACATTTTTTAAGGAAAAAAAATATTACCAGCAATACATTTTTGGAAAAAAAATATTACAAGCAATGCATTTTTGAAGAAAAAAACATTACCACAATACATTTTTGGAAAAAATATTACCAGCAATACCAGATAATAATCTTGTCTGTATTAAATAATCCATTGAGGCTGATATGCCGTAAAACAAACAAACCTGCGATAGATTTACCATTTCATGCTAACAAAAATGAAATATTCGAACTTGCACCCAAGAGGGTGCTCTCCAAATTACTACTCTCTTAATCTGTTCAAGTCTAGGGTTAACTGTCATCTCCCCCCCATATATCCGCATAAACTGTACCTCTTGTCTCTTATGCCCTAGGCTGACGCTCATCTCATAGTGAAATACCGGTTCCCGTACGATCACTAAAGTTAAGCAACGTCGAGCCTGTTATGTACCAAGATGGGTAACCGCGTGGAAATACCAAGTGCTGTAAGCTTGGATGTGCGGGTGGTGTAATGGATAAAGGTTTGGAATATTAGAGTTCCAATTCCCGTTGGCTTCAATACGCGCAAGACTTGTATCACAAAAATATGAATAATCTCCAGAAATTCTTACAATCTAAAAAATATTTTCTGGCTTTAAATAACCTGCAAAGGGTTGATAAGCCGTAGAAAACAAATCAATCAATTAAATCTTACTTCATAAACCTCTACCGCGGGTATCTCTTTGGCCTTGTACAGGGTGGACATTATTTCATCAGTTTAAACTTTAGTGGATGCACCTATTTAAGTAGACGCTCTGTTTATTTAATAAACAGTATATTTATTTATTTTCATCTACCGGCCTGAATATTCTGAAGTGTTATTAAAGAAAGATATGCGCTCTCTCCAGCAAGATGAACCTGCGCACCTCTTGGGCAGAAAGAGACGTCGTTAGATCCGATGTGGTTTCACCGACTCGGCCACGAAGTATCTTTGCTGATCATGCAATGCCGAATAGTGCCTTTAAAAATCTATTACTTTAGAAATTGCTTTGTTTACGTTTGGAATATCAAAACTGAGCAATTAAGAAAATGTCGGGAGTCTATGACCAGAAGGATTTTACTTAAAGGCGATATTTAAACTTTGCCTAATCGGAAAAAAAAAATTTGTGGCTGAGTCGGTTAAAGCACGTCGGGTCTAACGACGGTTACCTTTGCCAAAGTGGGACACAGGTTCGCATCCTGTCGGAGAATTTTCTTTAATAAGATTTCTCGAATATTCAGGCCGGTAGACAAAAATAAATAAATATACTGTTTAATAAATAAACGAAGTGTCTAAAACACGAGCATCCCCACCACCAAAAAAAAAGTAATGTTTAAAGTGATAAAATAACATTCACCCTGTACAAGGCCAAGGAGCCACTCGAGGTAGAGATTTATTGATTTGCTTTTTACGGCTTATATACGGGAATTGGAAATCGCCTCTACCAAACCATTAATTATTACACCACCCGCACATCCAAGCTTACGGCACCTGATATTCCCAAGCAGTCACCCAACTAGGAACTGTCCAGTCTCGACGTTGCTTAACTTTGTTGATCGTACGGAAATCGGTGTTTCAACGTGACATAGCAGTAAGCATATAAAGAGTCGAGAGGTACTGATTATGAGGATATGTAAGATAACCTAAACTTGAACAGGTTTAGGTCGTAGTAATCGAGGAAGCATCCTCTTGGGAGTCAGTTCCAGAAAGTAACGGTTCGTGGGTAAAAGCTTTTCGAGTAGTTAGATGATACCCCAATGTTGCCGATATGGCTTTGTTTCCGAAACAAAAAACGGCAATTTAAGACAAGGTAGAAAATATGTTAGAGAAAATACAAATTTTGAGACTATATGTTGAGCACTGAAATCAAGTAAGGATTTTCCGTGGTCAGGATTAAAGAAAGTGTTAATAACAGAATATAGCTATTCGTATGAATAATGTAAAAGCATTCCTAATTATTTTACTATAAAAATGCATTGAACAAATACGAAAGTGATTGTTAATGCATTCTTAATGATTTTTACTGTAGACATGCATAAAATATAAGGAAGAAAGGGATTGTCAGTGGTCAGGAATTAATGCTGACATTATTGATAGAATAAGGCTATTATATGTATAATGGAAATGTGTTGCTAATGATTCTATTATAAAAGGCATTGAAAATCAGGAAGAAAGGGATTGTCAGTGGTCAGGAATTAATGCTAACATTACTGATAGAATAAGTCCATTATATGTATTATGGAAATGCGTTGCTAATAATTCTGTTGTAAAAAGCATTGAAAATTAGGAAGAAAGGGATTGTCAATGGTCAGGAATTAATTCTAATATTATTGATAGATTTACTATGGGAATGCATTGGAAATCAAGAAGAAAGGGATTGTCAGTGGTCAGGAATTAATGCTAACATTACTGATAGAATAAGTCTATTATATGTATAATGGAAAAGCGTTGTTAATCATTCTATTATAAAAAGCATTGAAAATCAGGAAGAAAGGGATTGTCAGTGGTCAGGAATTAATGCTAACATTACTGATAGAATAAGTCTATTATATGTATAATGGAAAAGCGTTGTTAATCATTCTATTATAAAAAGCATTGAAAATCAGGAAGAAAAGGATTTTCAGTGGTCAGGAATTAATGCTAATATTACTAATAAAATATAATGCTACTAATTTTACTACAAAACGACATTAAAAGTACGAACAATCAGATTATCGATAGTCAGGAATTAATGCAAATATTACAGTTTCTCCGCTTTACCTTTTCAAACAAGAAATCTGATTGAAAAATGTCCTTTTTTTTGTCAGTCTAATTTCGCATTTTCCTCACATAATTATCTATAATGCCCTTTATTTCATATTTATGCTTGTCTAAACTGGATTTTTCCAATGCCTCGCTCATTATTCTTCAAGGAACAATTGCACAAAGTCCTTTAATTCTTGTTATCAATGCTCTTCTGTTTCTCCTAAGTCATTATCTTTCTTTACACCGTTATTATTGCTGTCTTCATATTAATGCCTACCATTAATTCTATTCGAGGGAAAAATATCACAACAGTAACAACAACAACAGCTGCTCTAAAACATACACTTAATCGGAATTGTTTACACAGGAATTTGCTAAACAACACGAATTTATCACGAATCATTTATGAAATACCTTCACCGTCATTATTTACTGCGTGTCTGTTGCAAGGAAATCTATATTAATTATAAAGGCTATTTCAAATGATATTATTATTAGAAGAATTATGGGGGAGGGTATGTGTCTTGTGGTTAACATTTTTATTAATAGATAAAAAGTTAAAAACAAAAATGCGATAAGACTACAGGGTTTCCCAAAAATGATTATCAAGTTAGGTTTTCTTAAAATAAATTTCATTTTCAAACAGGCAACAGATTCTATGTTAGTGTATTAGAAAATTTAGCTGCTTTTGTTTAGCGACATATCAACACCACTATGGGTTATCTAATGCTGAAATCTAAATATTTTGAACGCAATTTTATGCCTTCATCTACAGATATTTTGTAATTAATTTCATACAGACGTATGATTTTTTTTAGGTATATAGTTTGTAGATGATAAAATTTATTGTTGGCAATTAAAAAAATATATTATTGGTAACTTTAAAAATATGGATTGCTAGTCATTTAACTACAATAATGTAGTGTTAAAACATTTTAAATGTTGCATTCATTGTTATTTTGCCATATATATATATATATATATAACTGATAATTTACCATAAAAATGTACTTTTGATTTTACTATGAGAATGTACTGTTGGTGGTCCACTATTTGCCCAGATTTGGGACCCTAACAGGTGTTACCACCTCGGCTTAGGGTGGACCTGGGAACAACATCAATTAAAAGGTGGTTCCACGACCCTGAAACATTCCAATCTCCTGACCAGAGGCCTTGCTGCCGGGTGTAGTTTATCGTCGTACCCAGCACGGATTAGAATAATAACGGCGATGAGAAACAATTCTTTTTTTTATATTACAATAGATTATCCACTCTAAATCACGAATAGGACTTGTTTTTATAAAAGTTTATTGGCGGGGTTGGTCCAGTTTGGTATGCAAATTAGTTGTAAATTGGTCCCCTTACGAAAGTCAAAATAACATATGACAACTGATCATTCCGTTTCCAAGAAGCTGCAAAATTAATTAATCATTAATTTTTCAAAGAATTTTTTATATATTAATATCAATTTTTAAAGAATTTATTTATTATTTCAACAATTTTATCATTTAAATATTATTTTTAATGGATAATCATATTTGAGTAGACGCCCCGTTTTTGTATGAAACAGTGTATTTATTTAATTTCGTCTCCCGGCGTGAATATCTGAAAAATCTTATTAAAAAGAATATATATGCGACCTCCGGTAGGATCCGAACCTGCGACCTCCCTTTGTAGGTGAAACCGTCGTTAGACCCGATGTGCTTATACCGACTCAGTCACGAGGGGCATTAGCTGGTCAATCAAGGCTAACTATCGTCTTTAAACGAAATCTTTTTCGCCATAGATTCTCGAAATGTTCAAAGTAAATCTTTTAAGAAGTAACGGAATTTTATTTAGCAATTCGACATATTTTTCATCACTTTAAACGTTATTTTCAATGGGATTTCATATTAAAGCAGGCGCTCCGTTTATCTATTAAACGGAATATCTATTTAATTTCGTCTACAGGCCTGAATAATTGAAAAAATCTTATTAAAGGAAAAAGATGCGCTGAACAAATCTGAACTAGGGAATGGATATTCCTTAAAAGGGAAATAGCACCTGGCTGTGTTAGTACGCTCTCTGTGGCCGAGATGGCTAAAGCAAGCGAGATAAAAACGGTGGTTTATTATACAAGAGGAGCGGGTTCAAACCCTACCGGAGAGCACATAATATTTACTAAGTTTGCTCGAGTGCGCAGACAAATAGACGTAATACACCCTGGTTAAATTTAAAAAAAAGCAACAAAACAAAAAAAGGGCTGTCTATTTCAGGCACGGGAATCCACTAAAATATGTATTAATATCTTTTAATCTTTTTAATTTGATTATAAAACACTATAATTACAAAATCTGCTCACCTTAAGAACGTTAGTAATCAGAAATAACTCATCTGGAAAATACAGTCTGTCTGTCTGTCTCGGAGGTACAACTCTCTGCTATATATATATATATATATATATATATATATGTATATACTGTACTTTCCTAGGCTATTTCTGGGAGATAACGTTCTTAAAGTGAGCAGATTTAAAAATATATATATTAATATGTTTTTATATATTTATATTTGTGAAAATATTTTTTGAAAAAGGTTCTTTTATAGAATTAATTTTTTTTAGAAAAATTGTTTTTAATTTTAAGTTTTCTCATTAACCCATTAACTGCCAATTTTTTTTAATGCGCAGGTGTCATAGGAATTTATTTATTCCTTATGTTTAATTTCAGTAGTTACCATTGCCATTTTTATAGAAACTAGAACATCAAATATATAAGTGTATAAAACATCAAAAAATAATATTGATTAGAAATGATAAAAAATACTTTTCAAAATAGTCATTATTTTTTCTACTCGTCGCCTGACGAGTACGTCTAGCATGAAATAGACTTTCGCCTCTAAGTGTTGACTTTAATGTTCACTTTTATATATATATATATATATATATATATATATATATATATATATATATATAAAGGTATTCTCACTTGCTCCATATGTGTCCTCCTTTGTAAATCACTAGCGGGTCTTAGATGCCACTTTAAGATTATCGCACAAACTTTCATAACTGGAATCAATAAGCTGTCAGAACCTCATACGTCGAAACTGACGGGAGAGTCCATTATTATTATATTATATATATATATATATATATATATATATATATATATATATATATATATATATGCACTGACATCCCTGTCAAATTCGACGTATGAGGGTCAAGCAGATCAATTCCTAGGAACCGACAGTCCGACAATGAGATTTGTGAAGGTTTTGTGTGCAGAAGGATCAACACTTTTTGAAGGGCTGAATACAGAGACCTGGTGCATTACGTGCCACAAGGTCCCCAAACGACCCTCTGCAGGTTTTGAATTCAAAAGTTGTCCTTCTCTTAGACCAGTTGCCATCCAAGGCTATAGAACCCAGTCTGTTCTGCTATTTACCCATAGCTGGAGGGAGAAGAAGAGGATGCATACCTTTACCAATTTCACGTAAGTGAATGTAATGGATTCGACTGGAATTCGGACTCGGCTCTCCGGTTCCTCAATCCAAGCCGTTATTCATTACTCCAACACGCCTCTCTCTCTGTCTCTCTCTGTCTCTTTGTCTATCTCTCTCTCTCTCTCTTTATATATATATATATATATATGGGTAAAATAGCAGGACAGACTGGGTTCTATAGCCTGTACGATGGCAACGAAGTTCTAGAGAAGGACAACTCTGAATTCAAAACCTGTGGAGGGTCGTTTGGGAACCTTGTGACACGTAGTGTGCGGGTAAGGTCTATGTATTCGTCCTTAAAAAGTGTGGATGGTCCTGCACGAGGCTTTCACTACTATAATCAAATCTCATGT